GGTGGTTTTATATTTGCAATAGGCTGTGGGGAAAAAAAATCAAAACTATGTTGAAATTACGAGGGATTTGGGACATCGAACTTCATAATTTTAAACTAACCAGATCGGCGAAACTGGTTCTGTGATTTGCGCCGATTTCGTTTTGTGTTGAAATTCTGAAGTTGCTGATCCTGAGCAGTTACTGCAGGTAATCTGGGGTATTCTATATCACGTCGTATCACACACTGGGTTTCTCATAGCCACTGAGGATGATGCAGAGTTAATATCAGTGAAATACAACACATAATATGTATACAATATATCACATCTACGTCGTCTAATACTGACACTGAGCGGAGTTAATATGGTATAACATATCGTATGTGCACAATGTATCACACAGACAGAAGATTTAATATTGACTTTGAGTAGGGAAACATAGCAGCGAATACTACGTCAGTTAAACATACTAACTTATCATATCTTCATTTGTATCCGAAGTGACTATGTACAGAAGTTATTTGGTCCAAATGGAACTAAGTTTGTATCCTTGCCAGTAAATTTGATTAAGGAATGATTGTCTCTTAATCGACAAAACATATCACGATTCAATGGATTACAGTGTATTAAAATGTCCCAAAGTTACAAAATGAGTATATATCATACAAATTATATTCAAAATTGTTTACACAAGAGTTGTTTTTACGTAATACTCACACAACAACAAGAGGTATACAATCAACATAGCAGAAGTTAACAGATAGACCAAACTGAATCAAGATTTTCAAATTATGACTGAGTTTGCGCAGTTGTCGTTTCCGGTCTTGTCAAGCACTGTGCCCGGATGTTCGGGTGTACATAGGAGGCGCGCGTTGTCGTTTCCCAGCTTTGTTGTAGATGGCCTTGAGACTGGGCTGTCCATTCCATTCTGTTTGTCCATGAATCTTCCATTTCCATTTGTCCGTCCTGTCCCTATATTTATATCCTCCATTGCATCCTGTCCATTGTCCATTCCTTCTTCCTTCCTGTGTCCTTTCACCACCTTCTTCCATCCACTGCCTCCACTGTGTGTCCATCCACCACTGTCCACTATGTGTGTCCACATTAGTATCCATACCTTCGTGTCCATCCATATCCACTGTCATTCCTTCCTTTCCTCCATTACTGGCATTATATCCATTTGTCCATATTATTGTCCATATCCACCATTATCCATATGTCCTCCTGTCTGTGTGTCCATGTTATTCTATCCACCAGTTGTCTTTATTTAAGTTGATTCCTTCCACTGCCTTTAAGTTTCCGTTTCCATGCCACCATGTCTTTGGCTCACTACCACCCCAGTGTGTGTCCATTCGTGTCCCATAAATCCATTATCCTTATTGTCCATGTTCATTTCATGTCCTGTCGTGATATCCAGTCTCCATTATATTTCACCTTCATTCCATTCTCATTTCCATTCCATCCATTCCCTCCGTGTCCATTCTTTATTCCTTTCACTATCTTCCTTATGTGTCCGTCCATATTTTTCCAGGCTATTTATATTTCATTATCCACTATTTCCATTCCATATTTAGGCTCTTTTCTTCTACCTCCATGTCCTTTTTTCCTGTGTCCATGTATCCACTGTGCCACTGTGTGTGTCCATTCCATACTGTGTCCACTGGTGTCCCATACTGTGCTTGTCCTGGTGTCCCTGTGTCCACTACCGTTGGTCCTGTGTGTGTCCTGTGTGTGGGGTCTGTGGCCATGCATCAGTGGCTCTGTGCTCCATGTGTGCTTCCTCCTTTTCTGTGCCTGTGTTCCTGTCTGTCCACTGTGTGTGTCTGTCTCTCCACATGTGTGTACCATGTCTTTGGTCCTCTGTCCACTTGTGTGTGTGTGTCTCCTCCTTCCATTTTCGTGTGTCTGTGTGGTCCTCCATGTGTGTGTGTGTGTCTGTGTCTTCCTGTGTGTCATGGTCTCCACTGTGTGCCTGTGTGCCTGTGCTTGGTCCTTCCTTTCACCCCATTCTGTGCCTCCTTCTGTCTGGTCTGTGCCTCTGTCTGTCTGTCCACTGTGTGTGTGTCCTTTCTGTGCCTCCTGTGCCTCCTTCTGTGTGTGTGTCCTGTGTGTCTGTGTGCTTCTGTGTCTCTTCCTCCATACTGTGCTTCTGTGTGTCCATGCTGTGTGGTGTGGTTGTTCCATCAGTCTGATTGGCTCCCTCCATGCATGATTGTGCCCTGGCTTTCTGGTCTCTCCCCTCAGCCACCAGTGACTGTGCCCTGGTCTCAGTGCAGTGCCCTGTGCCTGTCACTGGTCTGTCCTCCATGCAGTGACCTGTGCCCGTCACTGGTCTCCCTCCATGCCAGTGTGTCACTGGTGCCCTGTCCCTCCATGCACCAGGTTCTGTGCCCTGTCACTCTAAGTCACTGTGTCCTCTGTCCATGCGTGGCCTGTGCCCTATCCTTCTGATTGCACTGTCCCTCTATGCACAGTGCCTGTGGTCCACTACCAGTCACTGTCCCTCCATGCCCGTAACCTGTGCCCTATCACTCTCAGTCTCCCTGTCCCTCCATGCACCACTGGCCTCTTTCCCATGCTACCAGTTGCTTCCCCGTCCATGCAGTGAGCCTGTGCCCTGTCTTTCTGGTACACTGTTCTCATACATCAGTGACCTGTGCCCTGTCCATTATGATTGCACTGTGCCCTCTATCTGTTAATCTGGCCGTCACTGTTGTGCCTCTCCATAGATCATTAACCTGTGCCCTGTCAATTATGATTGTGCCCTCCATGCACTGGTGTGGTGCCCTGTCATCAGTCACATTGCTTCCCTCCATGCATGATGACCTGTGCCCTGGCTGCGGGTGCCTCTCCTCCGGCCGCGGTGACGCGCGCCTTGTGCCCCTCCATACACCAGTAACCTGTACCCCTGTCACTACCAGTACACTGTGCCCCTCCATACACCAGTAACCTGTACCCCCTTCACTACCAGTACACTGCTTCCCTCCATACACCAGTAACCTGTAACCTGTACCCCCTCCATCACTACCTGTACACTGTCACTACCTTCCACTGTGCCCCTCCACCAGTAACCTGTACCCCTGTCACTACCAGAACACTGTTGTTCCCTCCATACACCAGTAACCTGTACCCCTTCACTACCAGTACACTGTGCCCTTCCATACACCAGTAACCTGTACCCCTGTCACTACCAGTACACTGTTGTTCCCCTCCATACACCAGTAACCTGTACCCCCTTCACTACCAGTACACTGTACACTGTGCCCTCCATACACCAGTAACCTGTACCCCAGTCACTACCAGTACACACTGTGCCCCTCCATACACCAGTAACCTGTACCCCTGTCACTACCAGTACACTGTTGCCCCTCCATACACCAGTAACCTGTACCCCTGTCACTACCAGTACACTGTGCCCCTCCATACACCAGTAACCTGTACCCCTGTCACTACCAGTACACTGTGCCCCTCCATACACCAGTAACCTGTACCCCTGTCACTACCAGTACACTGTGCCCCTACATCACCAGTAACCTGTACCCCCTCCATAGCCTGTGCCCTTCCATATAGTGCTAACCTGTACCCCCGTCACTATCAGTACATTGCTTCCCTCCATACACCAGTAACCTGTACCCCTTCACTACCAGTACACTGTTGTTCCCCTCCATACACCAGTAACCTGTACCCCCGTCACTACCAGTACACTGCTTTCCCCTCCATACACCAGTAACCTGTACCCCTGTCATTACCAGTACACTGTGCCCCTCCATACACCAGTAACCTGTACCCCTGTCACTACCAGTACACTGTTGTTCCCCTCCATACATCAGTAACCTGTACCCCTGTCACTACCAGTACACTGTGCCCCTCCATACATAAGTAACCTGTACCCCCGTCACTACCAGTACACTGTTGTTCCCCTCCATACACCAGTAACCTGTACCCCCGTCACTACCAGTACACTGTTGTTCCCCTCCATACACCAGTAACCTGTACCCCTGTCACTCCCAGTACATTGCAACCCTTCAACTACATCTAAACGAAAAGGGAGCGGACTTGATTGTACAATTTTGATTCTATTACGAAAATGTGTGTGTTTGACGTCTCACTGAGCAATATTAGAGCTCTGTAACGGCGTTCTTGAAGTATCGAGTGTGGACCATACAATGCAGTGATTGACATACTGAAATATGATGACAGAACATGTGTTTATCAGCGATTAGTGACGATATCGGGTATTTGAGACGAGTGCTAGTTGGTGCATCAGGTCAGTTGAAGTAGTTTTCCCGGGGAGAATGTGTCAGGAAGTAATGGATATCATGTGCTATCACGAATACCGGAAACAATAAGGGGGACAAAAAACAGCTTGAGTTGATTTGCAGTGACCCTTGTTAAAGGGTCAGCATTTCCTACCTTACCCTATTGAAATCACATTTCTCTGCTTCTGTTACACCATACTGTTCACACTGCCTGTATTGATAGCTGAGTTAATGAATATACGCTCCGTACTGTAAATGTAATGATTGATTGTGAAAAAAAACTATTAAAAAGCTGCTTTCCAAAAATCTTCTGTCCATCCCTCACTTTGCCCATCCATCTGTCCATCCATCCTTCCGTCCATTTAATTATACAACGGTCCTTCCATCCATCCGTACGTCCACCCATCTTCCATTCATCGCCAAATACATAATGGAGGATGACGGTTTCATATATGAACTCATGAACACAGATATATTAGTTTCAATAACCAAAGTAATTTTGACATGAACCCCTTGAAAATCTTCATCGCACTTTGTAGAACTGGGTAAATGAGCAGGATGTAGATTATATAATGATCAGGATGTAGATTACTAATGGGGTCACAGCAATGCACTGTGCTGTGATCACGGTTGTGACAATGCATACTTGGATACTATTTTTGCAAAACATGCATATGTATAATTACATCCCGCCCACTGGTTTGAATTCCTGGGAAATGAAAGGCCTTTCCTTGGGAGCCTATTTGTATAATAGCTACAGGTGTTTGTTGGTGCGGCAAACACGCTGGTAGACAAGGTGGAGGTGGTCAGGTAACTGCGCAGCCTTCCTCTACATTCATATCAAGTTCGGCTCTATCTTTCCTTGGTATGTAAAATATACATTTAAATTGCAGAACATTGCTTGTTGTCGCTTGTTGTTCGTTAAATATATGTGACAAAATGTTTACTAATTTGATAAATGAATGATGGTATCAAGGCGAATGTGATATCAATTGAAATCTGATTGTAATGTTGGAATCAGACAAGGGGAATCTGTAGCCCCAATTCACTTTTCCTTGTATTTGAATGATAAAGATTGGTATTTTACACAACATGGCTATAGAGGTTTGCTGATCGATCTACTTACACTTGATTGTTTTGTCTGTAATTATTGCTCTACTTCTATTTGTACTTCTGTATTATACTTTTTAAAGAAGGGGAACTTCATTTTTAATTAACAATTGAAAACAATTGGGAGATATATCGGAGTCAATCAATGTTGATCTGATAATAATGAATGTTTTGAGAGTGGATCACCACTTGTACTTCCTTATGACCATAGTTGTTTGTACAGTTATAGCTTTTTGAAAGATGATTGGTGTATGACGCGAAATGTGCATATGTACGATTTTCTTTTTCAAACAAACAAACAAAAAACCCAGCTAGACACAAACACTAACAACTGTGTGATGCAAGATTATTGTCAAAATTATTGTAATACAGTGATTTATCGACCTTCTCGAAAACTGTCAAAATGAAGAATGACACTCGTTGTGCACGTTGTGTAGGGGTGATGATCAAGAGAAATGATGGTGCGTTCATAAGATATATGGTTGACGTTCACGTATGCATCAGCCAAGGTCATCCCACAAATGCTCGATGGGGTTGAGGTCGGACGATTTGGAAGGCCATGGAAGCACTGTAATGTTCTCACTCTGAAGATATCGAATAGAGGCATGTGCTGTGTGAGGCCTGGCAGAATGCTGCTGGAACAACTCCCTCTGGCGGTCAATGATCGGAACCATGTGAATCCTAAGTAGTTCGTATCGAACCGAATAGCAGTTAAATTGCCCTGAAAGCGCAAACAGTTAGATTGCTGCATGTAGGATATAGCTCCCCACATCATGACACTATCACCATATCGGTAAACCTGGGCGACACAGTTGTGATTAAAACGTTGACTTTCCGTCACGGCACTGAAGCAGAAAACATGATTCGTCACGGAACCAAAGCAGCTCTGTACCTTTTTTGCATTAACTAAATAAGCCTTTGAAATCGACTTTGTGGACTTCTGGTCCATTCTCTAAATATCCAGTTAGAAATATTTAAGACATGAGTTTGATAGAGAGGACTGTTTTGGAATGTGAAGAATGATAAATAATTTTGTTTCTATTTTCAGGTACGCACATCATGGCTTCCAACGCGGTTTTTGCTATTGTGTGTTTAATTGGTGAGTATTAGTGTGTGAGTATAGTATTTTCAAGAACTCCGTGACTCGCTTTTGAAAGTAGTAATTCTAATGGGTAATCGCAGCTGTCAATTTCAGGAGTATATTGTGTTAGTGGTCAGAATGCATATGGGTATCAACAGAAATCTTCACCATACCGACATCGTTACTCAGTTATTTAAGTGTGCTTTACTTGTTATGTCCCAGAGAAGAAGGTCCAGTCATTGCTATGAAAGATATAGTAGAGCTTCAGGTTAATTTTGTTCCCCTTTTAGTTTTCACTTTCCGTATACCATTCCCAATGTTATACAAGTTCATGTTTTGGTTGGAAACAAGATGACAGCCTCCACAACATGCTTCTGCCATGTCCTCCCGACAATAAATCTTTGAAACTTTGAACATACAAGACTTGTCAGTCACCCTGCATTTATCATTGTATAGTAATATCATTTGGACTCTAGCATTTCTCTTTCATGTCACTCGCTATGCTTAGCTATACAGGAGTCAAATCTCTTTTATCCCAGTACTGAAGAGGCCATAGTCCTATAGTGCAAAGTCAGATAGAGATAATGGCATCAAATCGCAATGTTTGCAGGCGTATGTTTTCTATGTACAAAAGCATGGTGGATATACATACCAAGTTCACGAAAACTACTTGTGTTATTAGTGTTCATGAACAGCTTAAATTTACACGTATTGGGAAATGTAATACTGCGGTAGATATTTTATTTTTAAATCATTGTAGTAAGGGCATACGAGAACAAAGCACAGCTCATCTTCGATTGCATTTTATGTACCATTTACACAATCTGTTTCTCTTGGAATGTTATATCTGCCCCTCTACTCAGAATACACAGTAACATTACAACGATACAGAGACGGTAAGCTCCCCCTGGGCAATACAGTAGTCCTACACTTGTCCCCCAGGTCATCTTATTCACAGAAATAGTTTGTACAGAGTTGTGTCCCTTGAGCGTAGCAGTGACTCGTGATTCTGGGTTCGTATCTCCGACACGTCTGATTATGAATACACTGACCATGACTTGATGGACAATTCTACTTATCTGATCTATAATGAAGCTAGGATTTGCTGAGGCGTCAGTCAGTGATCCTTAATGTCAAATGGTAAATATCATCCCCAGAGAGAGCCTGGTGAAGCTGAGACCCATATTTCTATGATAATACTATTAATGTGTGACGTCACGTCACCATCTGTACTGGAAGAAAAGTACTAATTTTTATTACATCATTTTTAACCATATATGGCTTTATGCTATACGTAAATCTGTACCCACAGTTTGTAAACGTATATCGGGGCGGTGTAGTAGCCGAGTGGTTAAAGCGCTCGCCCGACACGCCGATGGCCGGAGTTCGAATCCCCAGATCGGTATAATGTGTGAGACACCATTTCTGGCGTCCCCCGCCGTGATAATGCTGGAATATTGCTTAATGAGGCGTAAAACTAACTCACTCACTGTTAACATATATCGGTACCATGACCATGTGTACGTGTTTCGCCATCGTGGTAAACCTTTATTTATAGAGAGAGATGTGTTTTTATTTATTTATTCCTGTGGGGTTGTATGTTTCTCATATCAATCTGACACCCTATGTTATAACAATAATACTGTTCATAAAAGTGTCTCCTTAAATTAACCTATGAATTGTTGTTATCACAGTGTAATAATGGCATCCAAAACTGGGTGTTCCATGTTAAAAATGTTTTATTTATATATGGTTTTGGATATGTTTGGTGTGACCCAGGATGTGTTGACGCTAGTTCGTTTTGTTGTCATTTTAAGCAACGCTTAATTGATTGTTTTTTTCAAAAATGGCATCATGACATTACTTCAAGTAGCAAATTATGGCTATACATCAATATCAAATGTGAATTTGGATATGAATATACTTAGATGCTTTACATCAAAACACTGTGAGGTACTATGTTACGAATTTCGTATCATAAATTAAAAATTGAAACTGGGCGTTATGAAAATATTGATCCCATCTAAAGATAGTATTGCAAAATTATGTAAATACATATAGTTATGCATGTAAGTACCGAACTGTTTTGTCCAGCCTCTTTTTGTTAATGTAAAAAATATGTATATTTCAATGGATTTTCTATCATGTATACAGTGTAAAATGATTACGAGGGGCATATAGCCCAAGTCTTTACTGAATATACTATCGGTTCAATCGAATCGTTCAAAGTGGCGTCCAAGACAACTCACTTCAATCCCTCTTAATCACTCACCATATCTACCTTCATTATTTCAGGTGGACAGTATCTACTCTTGACTGAGGTAAGTATCAAGGTCCCCTGTTAAAATAGATCACATGTACTTGATGACGTCACAGATAGGCTTGGCCATTTGTTGCGTGCATATCTTCGTGCCCTGACTGGATGGGACATTGTATGAAGTCAACAACGTCTCCCTGGGATCTTTTTCAAAATGGCAGCACTTCCGTTTGCGCGATCCAAGATGGCGGCATATCCGGTGGAGCGATCCAAGATGGCGGACGGATTTCAAGAGGCTGACGCGTTTAAAGATGGTGGCTGCGTTTCAAGATGGCGGCCGCATTTCAAGATGGCGGCCGCGTTTCAAGATGGCGGGCGGAACGCATTAAGATGGCGACGGACGGGGAAGAAGAGGGAGGGGAGAGAGGGAGAGAGGTGAGGACGATGTAGGCCTAGAGAAGCGTGTTGTTAAAGCTTTGTCAGCTTTCTTTTGAGCGGGATGAAAAGGGCCGTTGGTATTGGTGGGAGAGACATCACCGAGGCATGGCATCTATTTTGGTGATGGCGGGCTGCTGGAGGAGGTACTGGTGGAATCGTCCATGGGTTCAACAAAGTCAAAGACACGTTGTAGTAGAGTGTACTTGGTGTCTATGCGATCATGAACGAGGAGGACCCTGTCATTGAGTAGAGCCAGTAGATGTTTGCTTTCACGTTTACTCACTTTCTTTGGCGGTTCACTTGGCTGGTTAGTGGGAGCTGGGCGTTTCTGAGTCTTGTTAGAGCAGTTCATACTCTTATGGTCCTCTTTACCACAGTACCGGCAGGGGTGTGGGCAGTCGTAACTGCGATGGCCTTCGCTTTTTCCACAGTTGTAGCAGGTGTTGTTATCGTGCTTGTTACTGTCGTTGGTCTTCTTTGGACATATGTAATGATTATGCCCTTGAGCACCACACTCGGTACAGGTCACCATGGGGCAGTGCAGATAACTGTCGTCATCTGTTTCGAATAGGCGGCAACGGAAGGAGGCGGAGGCGGGAGACGACTGCATGCTTCCAGTTTCAGTCAGCCACTGATGCGGAGAGCTGGAAAACCTGGGCCCCGTTTCACAAAGCTCTCGTAAGCCTAAGATCTCGTTACTTTCCTCGTAGCATTCGTACCTCCTATACTGTAACATACTCAACATATAGCTGAGGTTGATGACGTCACTTTTGGCCGCCGCGTTAGTGTGGCGTGACGTAATAGGGTGTGTGACGTCATGGGCAAAACCCATGGGCAAAACCTAATGAAAGAAAACCTGTGACGCCATCAATCCAAAAAACAAAATGGCTTCATGGCGCAAATTACCTCACACCACCCTATATGATGAACCTAGTGTCACGCCATAATGTTTTCCAACAAATGATCTCACACACCTCCTTGCGCATATTGCCTCACACCACTCTTAGGACAGAATAGGGTGACGTCATAGGGTGACGTCTATATAAACCAGGTTCAGCGTGGGTCTTGGCAGTTCTCATCATGCAGTCACCACCAATTGAAGTAGAAGATGGCGTTGCTTGGGAGGGTGACCATTGCATCCACCTGGTCTGTGTCTAACAGGATGAAAAAAAAAGATGGTTCGGCTGATGACCATGGCATCCACCAGATATGACCCTGAAGAGAGACGGCTCACCACATTGAATTTGAAATAACATTTTATGGATGAACAGTGCAATCACAGGATATTGGTTAAACATCAGTAGATCATCAACAGAGCATGTCATGTGTTACAACAAAAGGTTCATGGGTATTTGTCCCTAGGTCACGTTTTGTAGCTATAGGGGAGAGTTTCTATGTTGATTCCTTGTGAGTCATACCGGACTCGACGTTTGATGTAGACCAAGCGATAGGTTTTGGTGGTGTTCTTGGACAGCAACGTGTTGCCCTGGCGAAGACCTCTGCGAATGATTTTGTGTGGGCATGGCACAGTGATGCTGGCTTGATCCCTCCGACAGACGAGGTTCTTCATGCTGTCAAAGTTGACATGTTGCCTCGCCCTGTGATTCAGAGTAAATTCTCGGACTTTGCTGAGGCCCACACTACTGTCAGATTGAGGATGACGTAGCTTGTAGCCATAGTTTTGGGGTCCTGGCGAGACAAAAGTCTGAATGCTGGCTGAGGTTCGTAAGTGACACACACAAGGTCCTCGTTAACGATGTGCACGTCCTTCACCTGACAACGTTCATCCAGGAGGAGGGCAAAGTACCTCTGAGGGGAATTGATGTATTCGGTCTTGTCAATCCGGTCTTCATCCCTGTGAGGGCAGGAAGCACCCAGCTGTTCTTCAGCACAAGTACGACACAGAGGAAATAGCAACTTGCCCTGGACACTTTAAGGAAGAACAGGATGATAGAGGTCGGTGGGTGGTAATACTCGGCACTGGATGAGCCCATGTAGCCCGAACAAGTCAGACACAGGAGGATTATCTTTGATCTCAGGATGCCCCACGGGGATAAGTGCCACATGTAAGGGTACATGTGGTGGCGTTTGTGCGTCCTCCAAAGAAGGCATCTCTGGGATCTAAAGGTTCAGGCATGTAGGCATGAGGTCCTTGCAGTGTGGTCAGGAACGCTCTCAGATCAGTGTTTTCTTTCTGTTGCTTCAAAAAATCGCATTCCCACAGGGTCACCACTTGGGCGATGTCGGGATGTTGACGTAACACAGCCAGTGCTAGGTTGCTTGGCGGAGGCCGTCAGATGCCGTTGAAAGCAGTAAGGGTTTTGGAACCACCCGCCACATTGTAGACAGGAGAGCCCTTCACTGACCACGTTGCCACAGAATCCACGACATCGACACCAGTAGCATCGAAATCCTTGGTTGCAGCGATGATTTTCAGCGTGGGCGTATCCTTGGTCACAGATTTCACATAAGAAGGGATAACCTGTAAAATCTGGCATGGATGTAAAGACATCGTAATGTTGATGGTGATGATACAAGTGAAGGATCTTGGTGGGTTGAGACACTTCACTTTTGTACAGGAGACGATTCATCACATCTTGGGAGTAGATTTGGAATTGGTGGTAGGGTGCCAAACGTTGACCGAACAGTTCCCACATTGCATGCCCTGTACAAGGGCCTTCTGGAATGTTGAGTTGACGAAATAAGCCCTTGGCGGCCTTCAACTCCGCTGGTCTCTTTTCGTTACGTATGTACCGCCATTTGCTGGTCCATTCCTTGGTCACAGGATCGGGTTTGTGTTCATGGTAACCCGCCGCGATCAGGGCACAGGCAAAGCAGAGTTGGTCATCATTCTTGATTTGTACAATGCATTGCTTCTTTTCCAGGAAGGCATTTAAGCCAACAATGTGTGTTGCCCGTCCGTGTCCCTGGCCTAGGAGAGCCGGATCGTCTACGTGTAGTAAGTAAATGGTGTCATCGATATGCAATTCGTGGTTACTTTGCTGTACTCTTTCCACTTTGGCCATAATGTGTTCCCCCTGGAGGTCCTCCATGCGCCGAAACGTGATTCGGATGGGTTGTACCGAGTGTGGTGCTCATGGCCATCGTCATTACATATGTCCAAAGAAGACCAACGACAGTAACAAGCACGATAACAACACCTGCTTCAACTGTGGAAAAAACGAAGGCCATCGCAGTTACTACTGCCCACACCCCTGCCGGTACTGTGGTAAAGAGGACCATAAGAGTATGAACTGCTCTAACAAGACTCAGAAACGCCCAGCTCCCACCAACCAGCCAAGTGAACCGCCAAAGAAAGTGAGTAAACGTGAAAGCAAACATCTACTGGCTCTACTCAATGACAGGGTCCTCCTCGTTCATGATCGCATAGACACCAAGTACACTCTACTACAACGTGTCTTTGACTTTGTTGAACCCATGGACGATTCCACCAGTACCTCCTCCAGCGGTCCGCCATCACCACAATAGATGCCATGCCTCGGTGATGTCTCACCCACCAATTCCAACGGCCTTTTTCAGGCCCTTTTCATCCCGCTCAAAAGAAAGCTGACAAAGCTTTAACAACACGCTTCTCTAGGCCTACATCGTCCTCACCACTCTCCCTCCATCCCTCCCTCCCTCTTCTTCCCCGTCCGTCGCCATCTTGAAATGCGTTCTCTCCGCCATCTTGAGACGCGTCCGCAACCTTGAAACGCGTCCGCGATCTTGAAATGCACCGGAAGTGCCGCAATCTTGGATCGCGCCACCGGAAGTGCCGCCATCTTGAAAAAGATCCCAGGGAGACGTTGTTGACTACTTTCGTGCCCTGACTGGAGGGGACATTGTACATGGCCCAAGGTTTAGAAATGATCTTCGTCAACCCATGCTTGTCGTAAAAAGCGACTATTATTAATACTGCAAAGCGCGTCGCTAACAAACAAACAAATATAAAGTATGCATAAAGTCTGATCTCAGTATACACTTTTTCCTACACCTGTACTTCGTGAAGATAACCTTTGTATTTTTACACAAGTCTTGATTTTTCCAGGGAGCATCCTCTGAGCTGGCCGCTAGAAAGAACAGTATATCTGCTTCAATTACTAAAGACGAGTTTGAGAAGCTGGACACGACCTTGATGGACGTGGTCAGTACGACTCACATCTTTCAAGAGGCACACAATTATACTCTGAAATTCCCGGGTCGGGATGCATCATTTAATGCGGGGAAGTCCTTCGGCTTGACGGATGAAGAAACCCTGGCAGTAATGATCTATACTACAAATTATGTACACACAGAATTCAAGAGAATACTGAAAGAGGGTGACATCGCCAAATACGACAAGTCATTCCAGGTCTTTCATTACCTCCTTATTAACGCAATTGAGAAGATACGTCTGAAGCAAACTCTTCCGGAATACCTGTATAGGGGTGACGAGAAGATTTATTCCATCGAATACGGAACCGATATGAGTTTCCCTGGATACACATCGACCTCATATAAAAAATCTGTAGCCGAGAATTTCCGCAACGGCACGGGCACCCTTATTCACTTGGAGGGAGTTAAGTTGGGCGCTGATATTGCCAGACTTTCGGTATATCCTCGGGAGGAAGAAGTCTTGATCCCCCCCTATGAAAGTTTCAAAGTCACCAACGTCGCCAGGGACAACAAAGGCCCACTCATCTACCTGAAGAGTATTGGGGAGGTGTGCGGAGGTCGTCGACGACGATCCACGGGAGGGCCGTGCCGATGCTGTAGACAGCCGTTAGACGTAATCCGTGAAGCCGCGAGTGGATGCGTCCCGCAACAGATGAAGTGGAACGTTGTCTACTTCTGTTTAGTGGTGTATGTCGTTGTTAGATATTGATATTAGCAAATCTAACAGTTCAAGCGCAGCACCACTTTATACACTTGTTCATTTGGTCATGTACATTTACATGGTTGCAAAAGTTGATTGACAGGTAATAGTTTTAGCCCGTTTCAAGACAGTTGAACAATATATAACTGTCAATTCAAATGTTTAATGTCAGAGTGCAAACCCTTCGATTAAAATAATCTGTATAATTCAGTTTCTATTTCACATTAGTCAGTTGTAATAAAATAATCTGTATAATTCAGTTTCTATTTCACATTAGTCAGTTGTAATAAAATAATCTGTATAATTCAGTTTCTATTTCACATTAGTCAGTTGTAATAAAATATTCTGTATAATTCAGTTTCTATTTCACATTAGTCAGTTGTAATAAAATATTCTGTATAATTCAGTTTCTATTTTACATTAGTCAGTTGTAATAAAATAATCTGTATAATTCAGTTTCTATTTCACATTAGTCAGTTGTAATAAAATAATCTGTATAATTCAGTTTCTATTTCACATTAGTCAGTTGTTTTAGTTCAGGGTTTTTTTCGACACCCTCTCCCCAAAAATAAATAAATACAAAAAATTAAAAATTCCTGGATCCGCCCATGAATGTGAGTTCAGAAAGTGCCCTGTTTCCATTAGTTACAAAGCATGTATAATTCATTGGCAATCGTCATTTGTGTGGGCAATGATTTGTGTAGTTAGTCAAGCACTCGAAGGAGCTATAATCCGCTAGCAGATGTTCTATATTGCTCCATCCTTACCACTTACAACACTGGGAGAAAATTCTGGGTATGAATGAAAAAGTCCCCAGCAATAACTGCTTGTCGTAAGAGGCGACGTAATGGGTGTCAGACTCGGTTGAATGCAAGTGAGTGAGTATGTTTTTACGCCGCCTTTACCCATGAGAAGAATTGACGCGTGCTGGTGGGTAGTTTGTTTGTTTAACGCCGCACTCAGAAATATTCCAGCTATATGGCGGCAGTCTGTAAATCATCAAGCCTGGACCAGACAATGCAGTGATCAACAGCATGAGCATCGATCTACGCAACTGGAAGACATGTGTCAGCAAAGTCAGTGGGTCTGACCACCCGATCCCGTTAGTCGACAAGAATTAATTGCTGAAGACTAATGCTGGTGGCGATACTGCGATCGTTATGAACGAAACGCGCACGCACACACCCCCACACACGTATCTTCACGATTAGAGCGTTTGCTTGGACCGGGGGATTCGTTCAATCCTAAACCGAAAAACTTTATGACACGGTACTTGTCACCATGCCTGGCGTCCCCTCATTAAGTGGGAAAAACAAGTATGTCCTTAATGTGTCTGAATTACATATCCACGATTAAGCTACTTGTGACTTAATACTGCAAACATGTCATTAATCTAGACTAGTACCAACAGCCGCAGGTGCACGCGCATACATGAGCATCTAACATGTCATTAATCCACACTAGTACCAACAGCCGCAGGTGCACGCACATACATGCGCAGATGCGCATATATTGCTACCTGTATGTAAGTGCAATACACATGAATACGACGTTAAACCTAACAGCCCCTCAACCATCGATGCTCATGATGTCTGTCACTGGATTTTCTGGTTCAGAGTGGTGTGTTTCAACAATAATGAGTCCAGTGTCGTGTACGTGGTGATGAAGACGTCAGACGCCGATGAAAGAATCGTCTACGAAAATGAACATTTCTTCTAGGTAGATGAAGGTTCCTTCTTTGTAGATGAACACGGTGTTGTAGCCCAGTGGTTAAAGCGCCCGCTCGTCATGTTAAAGACCCCGGGTTCGATTCCCCGCATGAGTACAGTGTGTGAAATCCATTGGTGATGTTCCCCGCCGTGGAATTGCTGGAATATTGCTAAACTCACTCACTCACTGTGAGCCATTTGAATGACTTGAAGATTTTATCATTTACATTAGATTTTTTTGTTGTATTTTTACTAACATCTGTTGCAGATATGGGAGTGAATATCTGCCTCTTCTCGGGTCCGACCGCCTCCGTGGTGTAGTGGTTAGAACGTCCGCCCGGAGAGCGGAAGGTTGCGGGTTCGATCCCCGACCGCGTCATACCAAAAGACGTTAAAATATGGTACTTGTTGGTACCTGCCTGGCACTCGGCATTAATTGGTACAACAAGGACTGGTCGGCTCGGAGTCAGTATAATGTGTCTAAGTGGGGTATTCATGCTTCACTGCGGCATGGCATCTCAGTGGGCTAGAACTATAAAATCAGCTTCAGTCTGGGCTAGTACAAGCAGCCGCACATACACATACACACACATGCACGTCGTCATATGAGCGAAATATTCTCAAGCACGACGTAAAAACCCAATTTCACCTCACCTCACCTTATCGGGTCCAGCAACTCACGATGTGAACACAATAGATACAAAACAGGTTTACAATGACCTTACACTCAGAATTCTTGAAGAGTCCAAACATGATTCAGTGAACGGGTTGGCTGCCAGTTGTCTGAACTTGTATCTATAATTTAACCTTGTTTCCCTAAATCTGGTGACATTTGAAATGATTTCGCTGAAAAGCGTGTGAAGGAAAAGTCAGAAACGTGAAGTTAAACGTAGACACAGAGTTTAAAAGTAAAGTCGATTACTTATACATAAATATATTATTTTCTCGTAGCTATTTATTATCACATTACCTAACTAATAATTACCTGAAGATGTCGGAAAACGCACGTAAAATCTCGTCAAGATCGTCAGACTGACTGACTGAGTTTGGTTTTACGCCGCTTTTAGCAATATTCCAGCAACATCACGGCGGGGGACACCAGAAATGGGCTTCACATATTGTGCCCATGTGGGGATTCGAACCCGGGTCTTCGGCGTGACGAGCCAACGATTTAACCATTAGGCTACCCCACCGCCCCAGATCGTCAGAGAAAACACTCATCAATGGGAATCATGAAAAAACAGTGCGTATTTAAATCACTCACTGGTTGACACATGTCATCGGTTCCCAATTGCGCAGATCGATGCTCATGCTGTTGATCACTGGATTATCTGGTCCAGACTCGATTATTTACAGACCGCCGCCATATAGCTGGAATATTGCTGAGTGCGGCGTAAAACTCAACTCACTCACTCACGTCTACGCAAGATACCCAGAAGCCTGTTACCCCTGAAGAAGGCGATTATTAATAAATATTAAAGTAGCAAGAGGTATCCTTAAGATGACAACCTTTTAATAACTAGGCTACGCCACCATCCCACTTAACCCTGTAATGATCCAGGGGCGGTGGGGTAGCCCAGTGGTTAAAGCGTTCGCTCGTCACGCCGAAAACCCGGGTTCGAATCCCCACATGGGCACAATGTGTGAAGCCCATTTCTGGTGTCCCCCGCCGTGATATTGCTGGAATATTGCTAAAAGCGGCGTAAAACCATACTCACTCACTCACTCACTGTAATGATCCAACCTTTCAGTCAACATGAGCTACCAACAGTCCTAGCTTCAAAGTCGCTTTGTGTAAACTTTTGTTTAGGTTGAGTCCTATTTGGGATTCGAACCCACGCTCTCAGAATCAGGAACCTAATAGGCAGCACATAAACTGTGGCAGAGTAGGTTAGATGGCTGAGTGGGTTAGATGACTGACGTTGTGTTCTGGCGATTAGGTGCCGGACTGTGAGAGTGTCAACCAGAGATATAAGAATCGATACTTTACTGCGAAAGTGTAATCCCAAATATAACGTGTTACATTTGACCACTTTCAAAATGCTAATGTCTATTAAAAAATACTGTTTTGCCAAAACACAAATAACACAAGTAGATGCAATAGCGGTAGTGTGTATTTATATACAATACAATAATCTATTACACAGATGTGAGAATAATATATACTGAATAGGTGGTTAGAAAAAAGATAAAAAAAACGTGTATAGATATTCACTTCTCTATATTTAAACCTCGTAAATCTGGAAATCTCAACATGCGGGCATTATTTACTTGAGCGTTAAGTCACAGGTAGCACTGATTCGTTATGTGTAGGATAAAGCACGACTCCGAGGTTATGGTTGGGAAAGTAAGACGCGAGACCGGAGGGTGGGGAGAAGTAAGACCGAGAGCGCGTATGGTCGAGGTCTTACTTCTCTCCACCCGATGGTCGAGGGCTTACTTTCCCAACCATAACCGAGGAGGAGTGCTTTATTATACATATAAACCGTCAATGATGGGTAATTAGATGATCATGTAATGAAGCTACATAACAGTAACTGAAGCGCTAGTAAAATCAATTGAATGACAGTAGGTCGAACTATAAATAGATAATTCAACCCTCATTCTTTGTCGGACCGGTGGCTGTGAGGTAGAGCGTCCGCTTATGAATCTGAAATATGCGGTGCCAATCCTGCTAGGGAAAACATTTGCACATTTAAGTTGATCTTTGACGATATTTTTCAATTGATTTCAAACACTAACATTTCATCTGAATTTGAATGTTGATGTTAATATAGAGTTGGGAAAAAGTAAAACCTGGGAAGAGGTCTTACTTACAAAAAGTAAAACCGGGAAATTGGTCTTACTTACGAAAAGTAACACCTGGGAGCAAACAAAAACCTCAAATGCGGTCATTCCGGGAAAAGAAGCCCTGTCTAATATATAGTGAGAAGCAGCCTCAGGTTTATATGTGTTAATCCAAACGAGGTCACAACACCATTTGTTCACAATATTCACTTCTCTATATTTAAACCTCGTAAATCGGGAAACCTTAACTTGTGGGCAATATTTATATACGTGAGCGTTAAATCACAGGCAGCCTTGATTCGTTATGTTTTAAGCCAAAAGAGTTCACAGCACCTCGTGTTCACAGTAAACCCACAAGTGACTCGGAGACAGATCCATACATGCCATAAACACATCGTTTTGTTACAGAGTTTGAGGTTTATTGCCACTAGTGATATCCACAAATATAAAATCAAACGTTCGGAAAATTGGAATACTTTCTTGGGTAAATGGCTTCTTAAACAAGTAATTATC